ACCCCACATCAGCTCATACTTTCTGTCGAATTATATTCTGACCACTGAGTCTGGCTGAAGTCCGGTTTTCTATAGAAGCATTATGGACGTCACAAAAGGCATTCGAAAAATCTTTGGACCCAACGGTGATGTGCCCCTGCGTTCACTATCCAAATACCTACGGTTACGGCGAACTTGGTTATATGGTTGCGATGCATATGTTATGGCCTTATTTTAAACACACTCGCCATTTGCCAAAATGGCGGCCTCGGGCGTTTGCCATCTTCGCAGGCCGCGGATGGTACGAAAACATTCCTCGTGGGTTTATTTCTTTTCTTAACCGTAACACCCTAGAATGTCTTGCGCGGAGTTAGCCGTTTTACGCGGAGGTGTAAGCAGTTACGAAATTCATGCGGGTTTTATTATTTATCGTATGTCTCTATGATGCGCAACCCTCATAATCCTTGTTTTATGTTTAAATACTTTCTTCCGATGTCTTTTCCACGTTTCCGGCTTCACTTGGAGCCTTCATTATGCAGTTGAGCGCTCAGCATGATACAGTCTGCGGCTTTCTGAGAAGAGCTTTTCTCGTTTTGCCTCTTCGTTTCTCGTCTGCCTTTCGTTATATCTTGAGTCGAATCTAGCAGTGAAAAACGCAACTCCGATATTCGATGCACCTTTCTGTCTCTCTGGGTCTCTATGTGCTTTTTGAAAAAACCCTGCGGTTAATTCTGCTTTATCACAAATCACGGCGACAACTATTTAGGCGGTATGTGCATCCAATCTAACGATGCCGCAGCGTCATATGAGCTTTTGGGGTACGTGGCATGTATTGGAAATTGCTCTCATTTCTTGCTCTGCTCTGCTCCTTTTCACTTATCTCGTTTGAAAAAACATAGCTTCACGCATGGGCAGTCCAGAAGGTTATTCATTTCTGGCGTTAGATAGGCATTTCATTTGAGTTATACTGATTTAGTTTTCGGTAGATATCTACGCAAACAATAGGGCGGAATGCCGTATTGTTGATGCCGTTGGCTATTGCTGGGTTGATATCGCCCTATTGATTTGCTATACTATATTTTTTATCCATCACGTTCTGCTAGGCTAGTGCGAAAACTTTAGTGGCGGTTTCGTTATTTGGATTGGCCATGCCTTCCAGTGTTGGATTGAATGTTGAAAATTGTTAGTATGCTCGGATGGTTTGCCCGGGGATTGGGGATCGTGAGCTTTAACGCGCGTCAAGTGTCCGGCAATCCTTATAGGAGCTACGAGAAATCCGGAATAACGTATTCTGGAAGTAGCACGCCGGGTTAAATCTTGCAGTTATGGATTTCTAGTCGGACGGCTTGAAAATTTATTACCAATGGCTTGAGTTAACGGCGAGTAATGGGGATCACTTCAGACCAATCTCATCTCCCTTACGTAATTGTGCGGCCTCGTTTTATTGAAGTAAAACCTGATATAACTGGCATCTTAGTATGTGTTCCTCCTTAGGTTTCTACTATAAGTATATCATTCTTTGATCTTAATCATTGCACATGGAACTTGGTCAATATGGTATCCAGACAGGCTGATTGGACAAAGAAATATAATAAGTGCTCTACCAAAGCCGTTGACACATTCATTTTCCAACGCCTTTTGTAGTTTCTTCTAGAATTGTAGACTATGACGCTATATAGTAACACCACTTATTTTGGAAGCCACTTTTACGCAAATCGGTGTAACTCGTATTCATGCAGGATGCGTGATGTGTGCAACGCACGCCCACGCACGCACGCCACGCACGGCCACGCATCGCACGTACTCACGTCCGCACGCATTCCACGCACCGCACGCAACGCACGCGCACGCCCCCCCCCCCTACGCAACGTACTCACGCGCCACAGCCGTCTTTCTGATTGAGCGTGTGCCGTATGTGGTGCGTGCGTGCTGCTGCTCGTGCCAGTGCCGTTGCGTGCGTGCAGTGCGTGCGGTGCGTGCGCACGTCCTCGCCTCGCTCGCGCGCGTTTGTGTAGTCAACACGCGCCACTTCGTTACCCTGCGGTACCAATACGTTTCCGACAACATTAGCTGGTGATCTACGATCCAGCTATATTATTCCTCCGCCATTCGTGTCAACGTTCGCTGCTCTCCCGTCCGACGTCCGCCGCCCACTGACAGGCCGTGCGTACGCATTGGGCATGCGCACGAGGCGGTTAGCAATATCCGGCCGCAAACAACTGCGATAGCCGTAAAGACACGGCGCGCAGGAAAGGCGATGTGTAGTTGGACATGCGGTTCTGCGGGAGCGTACGTGTCCGTCGGGGCGTGTGCCTGTGTTGCTGTGTGTGTGTGTGTGTGTGTGTGTGTGTGTCTGTGTGTGCGTTGTGTGCTGTAGTTTGTGTTGTGTGTGTGTGGGGGGGGGCTGTATGTGTGTGTGGGTTGGGTGTGTGTGTGTGTGTTGTGTGTTGTGTGTGTGTGTGTGGTGTACCGTGTGTGTGTGTGTGTGATCGTTGTGTGTGCGTGTGTGTGGGGTGTGTGTGGAGTGTGTGTGTGTGTGTGCTGGTGCTTTGTATTTGTGTGTGTTGGGGGGGGGTGATATGTGTGGTGTGTGCTGTGTGTGTTGTGTGTTGTGTGTGTGTGTTGTGGGTGTGTGTGTGTGTGCTATGTGTGTGTGTGTGTGTGTGTGTGTATTTGTGTGTCGCTGGGTGTGGGGGGGGCTGTATGTGTGTGTTGTGTGTGGCGGTGTGTCGTGTGTGTGTGTGTGTGTGTCTGTGTCGCGATTAGTTTATAGCCATAAAACACGATGGAGGCGGGCTCTTGCCTGTTGTGTGGGCTGTGTGTGTGGTGTGGTGGAGATTGTGTGGTGTGTGGGGTGCTGTGTTGTTTTGTTGTGATTGGGTGTGGCCTGCTTCATGCCTGCTACAGTGGTCAAACAATATTAGTAATTCTGTGGGTATATGTTGTCTTAATCGCGCGCTGTGTAGCAGTAGTGTTTCATTGACGTCGATTTGCATAGTAGTACGATGCTTATCCCTATAACCTTTTGTCATAGATTTCCTGTGGTTGGTATGATTAATAATTGGACTGGAGTATGATAAACTTTAGTATGCGCTGCATTTACTCTGCCCCTACCTACCTACCTACCTACCTACCTACCTACTACCTACCTACCTACCTACCTACCTACCTACCTACCTACATACCTACCTATATCTACCTACCTATTTTGTGATAAATATGCGTTTAATATGGTTAGGGGGTATCTCAGCATATTAATTTTTGCAATTAATTGTTATCAGAACACCTGTGTTTATAATTAGGAGAGCGCCCTAGCCTGTAGGGTGCAAAACTCCTACTTTGCCTCCTCCAGTATTTCCCATTGTGTCCCCTGTTCCTCGCTCAGCCTAATTCCTCTTCTACCGCCTCTCAGCTATCTTCCCTGCCGCTTTTCCTCAGTCTCTTACCCCTCTCTCCCACAGCAAGCTATATTATGCAGTTTTCTTTAGTCGGTACTACACGCCTGAAACGGTACTCGCGCATGCGCAATATCTCCCACGAAGAATCATATTTTGCAATGATTATGCATTTAAAATGAAGAGGAGTCATCCTAGCATAGATTTATATGATAACATTCTATCAGTAGACATCCCTTAATAAATAGGAAGAAGACCACTGCATATACCAGCCAGGCTATTCTTGCCCGCGCGTCCCTGCGTTCATCTCGTGATACTAATTACTGCCTCAATGCAAACGTGGATGCCAAAAGTTCGAGTTTTAGTTGTGAATCAAACAAACCATTTTTTTTCTAGCAAATACTCGGAAGTCGTGATCAATTTTTATAGCCTAAATTGGAACCATTTCGCGCCCGCATTCCGAAAGGAGGGGAGTGGAAAACACCCAGTTATGCTGTTTATGAAGTCACGTGACTAAATCGCTTTCTGTCACGCAAAGGATAAAAGTAAAACACTACCTAGACCGGGTCTAGGTAGACCCCCACACGGGACATATGTGTCTACGCCAGCAAGAGGGCACACGTTATACCTCTCAGGCTGACTCCTTTCGCTCGTTATGCCGAAGTATATATATTTGCGTGGTGCGCTCACCGAGTGGCCGTTCAGTATATAACCTTCCCTATTTGAGCCCTTGGCTATATAGGTAGCATGCAAGGCTGTTGGCAAAGACCGAGTAGGTAGTTCTGTGACGGTTCAATTAGTTATTCTTACTGTACGGACGATGTTGATAGTAATTAATCGTTGTCAGGTACTTAGACTCGAGTGAGTTCCCGTTTGGCTTGTTATTCGCGTAGCCACACACATACGTTACTTATATTTTTTTTAATACCTTTTTACGTTTACATCACTTAATTAGAGGCTATCGGCGTGCACTCCACTACTACATTGCGCAACAATCATGATCGATGTAATAAACATGCAGCTATAGCTATAAATAAAGACTATAAATTTTCACGCGTTCCACACACAGAGTTGGTTGTACCACATTGACCTGATATAATTCAATTTCTGCAGCACCGTCGAGAGCACGGCGATAGAAGCAATGTTTTCGAGGGAACGATAAGTTTAATGAGAAGTTAATGAGAAGTTAATGAGACAAGAGGTCTGAAACGCCGTTCTTCTCACTTGGAGAAAAAAACTGTTTCTTGTTTTTTTTTTGTATCTTGAGTGATAGACAGATATATCGGGCAGGTGTACATTGCCGAGATGTAAATCTTCTTCTAATTACATCTTAACAGATCTTAACTACTTATTTCAAATTATCAACTTACATCTATACTATATTATTATTATTATCATTATTATTATTATTTATTATTATCTTATATCTATATTATATCTTTTACTTTACTAGTCATACTTAGCTAGTTCATAGAAGAGATAAACACTTTTAGAGGACGCTTAGTGATACGGAACGCCTTCAGGCGATAGCAGTCATCAACATATTAGGTGGGTACAACCCACGTACAAAACCCAATGCGCACACTCCTAGACTGGACGCAACAGAGCACTAGATCATGAGGCTCTATCGACAAGATGGTGGTTGGGCCTGGGTCGTACTTTTCTCGGCTTTTCTCGGGCATTTCATATTCGTGGGGATGTCGTTTTCGTTTGGCGTCTACTTCGTGGAGCTACGAAATTTCTTCGGGAGTTCGGCGAGCCTAACTTCATGGGTCGGCTCCCTCAACACCGGACTTCTGTTCGGAGCAGGTGGGCGGAGCTCTGCGCTTCATTACGTTATATCATTCGCATTTACAATGTTCAATATATTCATAAGTCATTCAATCAAGTTTAGATTCGCGTTATTTATTGCCCTATTCTGCTGCCGGTATAATAGTAACGGAGCTTGAGGGTTCTGGATATATGGCTATTACGAGCTGATAGGCCGGAATCGACGACACGAAAGGTCGAATGACAACAATTAATAATCTTACATAGTTTACACGAGTTTAATTTTACGTTTATCATACATAGCAGTCCTCAAAATAAGATTAAAGTATTGTGCGTCATCGCGTCAGCTTATGAACGCGTGCCGTTTATTATATGGTTTATTGTTATATAGGGGGGGGGGGCGGTATATAGGGTTATATATATCGGGTATATAGCGAGCCACGACGGTTTTACGGTTAAAGCCTCTAGACTGGACAGTAGAAAAAATTAATCAGGAGTACATTAACATGTTAAACCTAATACTTACTTACCTATACCTTTTTATTTATTTATTAAGACTTACGGACATCAGAATTAATGATTAATTGCTTCAATATTTAAGATTTTGACTTACTCGGTACTGCGCATCTGAATGCTTTAAGTCCGGTGTCGGGAGGGACTTCATCGTTATTATTATAGCGATCATTTACCAAAGAATACTCGCGGATGCGCGGGTCATGTCTCGCAACTTGCCGCGCTAGCATCCATCGCGATCGACTTGAGATACGGTCAAATACGGTCATCCCGTCATATATATATGACATATATATCAATACTATAATTTGGCTAATCTTGTGTGTGTGTGTGTGTGTTTGTTTGTCCTCGCTTTTCGCCCTGATTTGTCACTCAATCGCGCTAACTGAAGATATATTCAGAATCACCACGTTTGGGAGATGGTTCTGGCTGAAAAAAAATTTAAAAAAGTTCAAGTATTAAGTATTAAGTCAATCTCTCTCTCTCTCTTTCTCTCCTCTCTCTCTCTCTCCCGCACTCTCTCTCTATCTATCTCTTTCTCCCTCTCTTTCTCTTCTCTCTCTCTCTCTCTCTCTCCTCTCTCTCTCTCGCTCTCTCTCCTCTATCTCCCTCTCGCTATCTCTCTTTCTTTCTCTCTCTCTCTCTCTTCTCTCTCTCTCTCTCTCTCTCTCTCTCTCTCTCCTCTTTCTCTCGCTCGTTCTCTTTCTCTCTCTCTCTCTCTCTCTCTCTTCTCCTCTCTCTCGCTCTCTCTCTCTCTCTCGCTCGCTCTCTCTCTCTCTCTCTCTCTCTTCTCTCTCTCTCTCTCTATTTCTCTCTCTTTCTCCCTCGCTATTTTGTTACGGAAAAGACGCGGCAGATAGAGCTAAGCAGACGCGCGCGGCTGATCCTCGCATCACACTGCTGGGCGGAGCACAGGCACTTGGAGCGTTTCAATAAAATATAATGCTAAATAAATACGAAATCTATTTACTACCAAAGTCTTAATGTTTCTATACTCTCTTTCACCTATTATTGCCGACAATTTCCTGTAAAATTCCGTCCAAATGCTCATCTACAACAAACACTGGCTGCCGCCATTGCTGCCGCTGCACACTGACACATATAAATATATAAATGTAAAAATAATTATATAAATATATTTACAGAAAATTGTCGGCCAATAATAGGTGAAAGAGAGTATAGAAACATTAAGACTTTGATAGTAAATAGATTTCGTATTTATTTAGCATTATATTTTATTGAAACGCTCCAAGTGCCTGTGGACCGGAGGCTACACACCGATTATTACGTCCTTCAGGCGTCGAAGCGCTCGTTCGCTCATTCAGCGAGACGCCTTAACGCTTTTAGGAAGGCATTTCTTGGTGCTTCCTGCTGCTACTACTGCTGCTCCTGCTACTGCTGCTGCTACTACTACTGCTTCTGCTTCTGCTGCGGCTGCTGCTGCTGCTGCTGCTTCTCTTGCTGCTGCTGCTGCTGATGCTGCTGCTGCTCCTGGCTACTGCTGCTGCTGCTGCTACTACTACTACTGCTACTACTGCTCCTGCTACTGCTTGCGCTGCTTCTTCTGCGGCTGCTGCTACTGCTACTGCTGCTTCTGCTGCGGCTGCTGCTGATGCTGCTGCTGCTTCTGTGCTGCTGCTTTTGCTGCGGCTGCTTGCTGCTGCTGCTGCTGCTGTTGAGTGCTTGCTGCTCCTGCTACTGCTGCTGCTGCTGCCTGCTACTACTACTAATGCTACTACTGCTCCTGCTACTGCGGTGCTGCTTCTGCTGCTGCTTCTGCTGCTGCTACTACTACTAATGCTACTACTGCTCCTGCTACTGCGGCTGCTGCTTCTGCTGCTGCTGCTGCTGCTGCTGCTGGCTGCTGCTTGCTGCTGCTGCTGCTGCTAATGCTGCTGCTCTGCTGCTGCTCCTGGTACTGCTGCTGCTCCTGCTCCTGCTGTTGTTGCTACTACTACTGCTCCTGCGCTGTGCTGCTCCTGCTACAGCTGATGCTGCGTTCTGCTGCTGCTTCTCTTACTGCTACTCTACTGCTGCTGCTCTGCGCTCCTGCTGTTGTTGCTGCTTACTACTACTGCTACTGCTGCTGCTACTCCTGCTGTTGTTGGCTATACTACTTGCTACTGCTGCTGCTTGACTTCTCCTTACTTTGCTGGCTCATGCTGCTGCTCCTGGTA